GCTACTCAGCTTCAGAACCTCTACCAGGCTACAACTAGCCAAAGCACATGTGTAGTTCAGCACTGCAAACTGTACAGGTACAGCTGTTCTGCAGATTAATTATGAAATCTCATAATTAACAAGCTTGTAGCAGAGGAATACATGAGCAATACATCTCTGGTGTCAGAGTCCTTTCTTTGAACTACTTTATTTTCCCTGCTCATATGTTTTTACAGTTGTGTAGAAACATGTAGGGTTCATACATTTCAACCTGAGTATTCTAATTTGTAGTCCAACACCCCTATATATACTTGGGGAAAATACAGACATTCTTGCAAGCATTTTTTGAAACAAGTAAAGTTCCTGTACTTTTTTTTTTTTTTTTACCTCTTTAGTAAACAGGGCTTCTAATTCTTGCTCATCCAGGAAGCCATCATTATTGACATCTAAAATAAGAAGTGTTGAAAATACAAACTGAGTATGTACAGAAAGTAATATATCTAATAGTTCTCTATGGATTTGAATATGTATCACCATACACATCCCATATAGATTAAAAATCACATTTAACAAGATGCTGTTTTCATATGTCAGTTTTCCTCTTCAGGTTTTTATCAGACACTGTCTGAACTGGTTTTGGATACCTGACTGTTAACCATTGGTTAAATACTGGCACGTTCTCCCTAGTTGTTAGATTAGCAAACTGAAATAGGTCACAACAGGACTGCAACCAGTGTAATTGCCAGAAAATATTGCGGAGAACAACTTGTCCCAATTTTACAACTACAATGGTAAACAGATCCAGGAATAACATAAGTCAGTAGATAAACACTGTTAACAAGCAGGAGGACTCTACAAAAACCAACAAAATGTTGTGCAAAATTTATATAAAGGTGCAGTGCTTAAGAAAAGATCACTAAAGTTTGTTTTGATGAACAATCCAAGAGGAGAATACTTGGCAACAATCCACCTTGTATGCTATGTTCTACTCTGAATAGCTATATTGTTACTGCTATCTGAAATTGAAAGGGAATGTCTATTTCAAGTAAGTGCTATTATGCAATATTTTTGTTTAATTGCTTCAAAGTTTTTGATACACTCAGCTTTAAGGCAAAAGGTTATTTTACCTACTGCTGTTTTATTAAGACTTGCATAAAATAGCAAAATTTTTCAAAAAACTACATTTCAAGATCTTTCTAGAAAGAAGGAATAAGGTTGAATATCTAAATATAATAAATATATAAATAAAAGAAGATAAAAGGTTAGACTCAAGCTAGACCATTCCTTCAATTGATTTCTCATTGGCATTAGTCAAATTCTTTGTACTGTTCAACCCTTCAGAGTCCAGTGCCAGGCAGGTTCTGCTTAAGGATACTTTATTATGAAGCATTTAACAAGGTCAGAATATAAGGTTACAATTTATATAATCATATTTAAAACAAAACGCCTATTGAGATGCATACTTTTCCCTCCTATCATTTCATTGTTCTAATAGCAGACTGCTCAGAAACGCAGAGCAAGTATCAGGGAACATTTGGAGTTGTGCTTTTTAGGGAGGTCTTGAAACTACTTAAGAGGTTTGGCGCTTCTATGACCATTCCAAAGATAAGGGGTGTCTGGCACTCATCTGCTGAGGTGTTGAGAAAGCAGGTTTTCCCAAACACACCTCTGAAGACTTATTCCTAGAGCACAGCATGTGAATGTTTTAGTTATTGAGAGATCTGTGAATACCCAGAATTCCCTGAGCAATTACTTCTGGTTATTTGCTCTCTGCTTTTATGAGTACTTCAAGATTTCATTTTCAGCATTTAGACCCCACAGTAAACTTTCACACAATAACATAGCTATCTTCTCTATACATTTTGGATTCATTCAAATTGCTTGAGTTTTAAGACTTCTTATAATAATACAAACATGCCGGATAAATATCTTCAGCAGAATATAACAGCGACAACATTTGCTAATTAAATTAAACTAAACCTCTTACCATGTAATTTGAAGAATGTTTTGGGGTCGAATTCATTAGGATCTAGTCCATCTGCTTCTTCCCATACCTCTTTCAGTTGATCTTTGCTTCCCTGTAGATTGGTTACAAAGAAAACTATTCAAAAGATGATTAAGTGTAATTTTACTGCCTTAGCTTTGCAATACAGTTTCTCTGAAAGGCTCTTTTTTTTTCCCTGACTAGTCATGGTCCAAATAGAATTAATGGAACTTACTTCAATTTCCTTTTACACAAGTCACATACTTCCTTTAGACAGAAAGGCCCAGGGAAGTGGCAAGAAAGTGCATATTCTGGGGAAAGGAATGCTTGTATAATTAGCCATGGCCACACTGACTTATCTGCAAGCAACAGCTCAAGGGGGCTCAATCGGTTTGCCATTTCTAGAGAAAATGATGCTCTGAGTTAGTTCCTTGCAGGCCAAGTATATCATAAAGGCATTCCTACTGTTTCGAATACCCTTCTTGCCTCTTCCTTGTACATTTTAGCTTCTTTGTAAATAATAATTCTGCCAGCAAAGACTACCTATATAGGGAAAAAAAAAAGCAAGTACACATAGTGGGTTTTGTAATGTTCTTGGTGCTCTTCCCACACTCTGCTCCCACATCAATAAGAAAAAAATCCTGCAAATAAAGAGGATTTTTCCTGTTATTTGCTTCCTGTTATTAGCTTTTTCTTACTGGAAAGGAAAGCTTCCTTACAAATATGTAAGGACAGACTGTAGCCTTACAGGATGGTGAACTTTAGGGTGATCTCCATGTTTTTTTTTCATCTCTTCAAATTTGGATTCTTCTCGCTGCCTCTTTTCTTCATCCAGTGTTTTTAAATACTCTCTCCTCTCGTGTTCTTTCATCATCTCATATTTCTTGAATTCTTCGTGGCGGGTTTTATCATAATTCTCCAGGTCACTTGTAGCCTAAAAATATAGATATGTACACATGATTACGCCACATAATTACATTAACACATTATATAAGATTATGTAAAAACCCTGCATTGTTCAGGTCTGGGGACACAGATGGTAATATTGCCATTTCCCTTTTAAACACAAGGTAGACTAGTCTGTGGTCCCCTTTCACACAACAGTGAAACATAAACATCTCTCTTCACTCCCTCTATTACTTTCACAGCATTTAATTTGCAAAGGTTCAATTGCTTAGACAACTTTTGCATCAAGGTATCCTTTCTCAATTAATAATAAATTAACTCAAGTTAAGTATGTGCTAATTAAGTACAGCTTCAAGTAGTATCATTAAGTCCTTGTTTACTGCAGCATAACAACATTCATAGCTTCCCCTAGAACTTAACGAGAACAGTGCCTCCATTAATAATGGGAGTTACTCTGCAGTAGTTTATTAAAGAGTAAATCAACAAAGCCATTTATATAGAGAGAAAGGAGTGAGGGGAGAACTTCCAACAAGTACTTGTATGGGATTTAGAGTTGCACTACTTTCAGATAGGTCAAGGTATTAAAGGATGCAAAATTTAGGCTCTTTCTAGTGTAATGTACGCTGACAATAGTTTTCAAGTGTGCAATGGAGACAACTGACTTTTCTCTGAAACTGAAAACTGCATATCACCTTTACCAACAAAAAAAGTAGTACAGAAGAAAAAACACAATACCAATAAAAAACAGCCCAGAGTAGGTTATGTCTAGCACTTACGGCTTTGATCAGCATATCTAAGTCTTTAGGTTCAAATGTGTCAGGATTCTGATGGTTCAGGTGCTCAAATTGTTTAAGGAGAGCCTGATGGTCTATGCCAGTGTCTGAAAGAACAAGGTACAAATGTAAAACATTAAAATAAGGTTGAAAGCAAACAAGATCAGGAAGTTAAATACATTCACAAAGGAGCTTGTGCTTTGTAAGTACCTCAAGCTCCTTGAGGACTGAATTTTTTCATTATAAAAGTGTGGCTGCTACCAAGGTTTTTAACTGGTAAAGCTAGATAATAGTGTTATCTTAAACAGTGTATATTTTGATATGTTCTGGGCAACAATGTTGGCAAGCTTTTCCCAGATGTCTTAGTAAAGAATATTTGTTTTTTAAAAAAATGGAAAATATCATTTTGAACTTGTTATCCCTTGGTAAACTGTTTCTCTCACACTCAGTGCTGTATTTGTATTATCATAAAACAGTACACACTGTCTGGGGCATATTTCAAACATCATTCCTCCCTGGTGAGATCATATTTTTTTCTGAAATATATGCAACTTAGCCTGTTTATGAAACACTTTCTGGAAGTGTAATTTTAAGCTTTTTTTTTTTTTATTAAAAAAAAGCCCCAAAACCTGTTTTCCTTCATTCCTTATAAAGACAGAGAAACAACTCATTCTGTTTGACAGCATTTCCTTGCCACAGTACTGTAATATCTAAGAGTTGTCCTTGAATAAAGTCACCCAACCCCTAACATTCTTGCATCCTGTACTGGTCAGTTCAGCAAATTCTTGGTGCAAATGTTTCAAAATACATCTGGATCAAGACACAACATAGACAGGGCATATGTTCAAGTCTTGTGATTATTTTTTTTTTTTAAACCTAATCCATCTGAGAAGAAAGTTTTTTGTATTTTAACAGATAGAAGGCTAAGATATTACACGGTATTACATGGAGAAGATTTTTGCATAGGTGTGTAGATACAGCTGTATTTTATAAATAATCTGAGCATACAGTTATGCATGATGTGAAGTAGTCACATCATGTATACCTGTAGTTATAACTATAGTTATAACAGTAGTAGGGCCCACTACAAACTTCATGAAATATTTTCCCATTCTTGTTCTTTCACATTAGTAGTCATCTGAATATTTTGAACTGGTATAATCTGTTCTTGTTCTTTCTAAATGTAAGCTCTGTCACGGCAACAGAATGTATTTATATGCTTGATCTGCTGTAGGAAAGAACTATTTTTCAAAGCATGCTCTGTTAGTTACTCTTGATTTATGGAAATAGGGCTAGAACTACTTAGTTGATTAAATCACTAAAAAAATAAAGTATACAGTTACTACCAATATAACTAGGTATCATGAGCTGCTGTCAACTAGCTCACCGTGTCAACATGATGTTGCTGGACTGCTTGCTTGCAATAGGAGCATGAGACCAAGCTCTCAGCAGCTAAAAGACCTCCTGAGAATGACAAAGCATGGGGGCTGACAGGTACGTGAGGCAATGCACTGACTCCTGTGGAGGTCTGGTCTGCACTGTCTAGCTACTGGTGGACTGCACTCTCTGCACTAGAACTTCCAGGAAGAGAAAACAAAGGACAGAAAGGTTATCCTGAAGCTCTCAAGTAACTCTGTATCATTATTCATTAATTGTACTACAGCTGCACCAAAAAAAAAACAAAAAAAAAAACACTGGAAAGGTAGTAGTATTCTAAAAATACCTTCTTTCCCAAATTAATCACTTTTTTCCTGACATCCCCATAGACACAAATTTGTATACACATACTTTTTTGGCCTATTTACCATCTCTAAATTTGACTCAATGGAATTAGCCTAGAAGACAGATCCTTTTTCTTACAGTAGTTTAGATTGACATATTACCTATTCCATTCAGTGGGATCCCTTCCTCCTACTTGACAGCATTTTTTATGAGCAAGAAAATAATCTGCACAGACAAATTAAGTCCTATTTATTCAAGCTTCATTGTGAAAAAGTTTTGGATACAAGATCATGCAATCTATTATGATCTTTATTTAAGGGCAACCAATTATCTTCAAAAAGTAATACCCAATAAGAATCTTAGATTTAGTTCTAGATGAAAACTTTAAAATTCTTCAGCAATGAAAACAGATAGCGCCATTTCCCAAACAAACATATACCAATCAGATTCTTGAGAAACCTGTATACTTTATTCTTTAAAAGACATTGCATATGTTCAAGCAATTTCATTAGCAAGTAAAAAAATATATATTTTTTCAACCCAAATGTTCTTCTTTCATCCAAAACCTTAAAAAAGTCCTCAAAAACAAGAAAAATCATCTTCTGAATTTAAATGTTTAATGTCTGTTATAAACCTGTAATATAGTTCTTATTGGTGGAAAAAGGATTTTAAAAGAGAAAATGGAAACTTAATGTTAACTGACTACAAAAACAAAAAATCATTTTCCACCTTGCAAAAACATTAAACATTCTGTCTTGTATTCTGAAACAGCCTAGTTAGTATATGTTGCTAGTTCTCAGTGAGTGATCTATAAATTGATGTGCTATAAAAGACTGAGAAAGGATTAGAAGTATCTGAAAAATCCACTGCCAAAATAAAGTTGTTATTTATTTAAATAGATGGCTTTTTTCTCCAGTTTCCTATCAAGATATATATTTACTGTCCCTTGGCCTGGTCAGAAAGGACACTCTTACTTTCAGATTATGTTTGTTATGTTGTCAACAAAGAAAGCATAGCTGTTACATTTTGGACACCTGTCCAATGCAACCTCATCTGTTAACCCACCTAGTTAAATTTTGTATTCTTACCTTGAACAGAATCCATTTTAGCTTTAATTAACATTCTTAATCTTGCCACCTCTTGTCGTTTCAGTTCATCCAGCCGTGTTCTCACATGGTGGCTCACTAAGTCAAGTTCTCTGCTTAGTTTTCCACTCTGTCAAAAAAAAAAAAGTTATCAGTTATCGATAAAACTAGAAGTAGCCTTCACAATTCCCATTAATCAGCAAGACAGCAGACTACTAGTACTGGCAAAGACTGACAGTAGCCCATGCTATTAGAATCTCAAATTCTTTTCAAAGAGCATATTCAATTTTTTTAAGCTTATAGTTGTAGAAACAGAGAATCCCAGAAGCTTTCTGAGAAGAGAATTTCTAAACATCTTGCTCCCCTGAAGAGCAGAAGTGTGACCTTTCAGCAACTTGATGAGGTATTGCTGCTGCAGTGACAAATTGCTTGATCAAATGTTCTCAAATTGGTTCAAAAGGGCTGTGAGATAAACACACAATGCTGTATTCTCCATACATTTGATAACAGCTGAAGGACTTGGGAGAAGATACAAGCGCAATGACAGCTGCCAGCATGTACTGCAAGAATATTTATCAGTCTCTGGAAATGGTTAGTAACCTTCAAGAGCTGCACTAGATGTAACACAGAAGAAAGAAGAGTCAAGAACTGCCAACGGCACCATGAGAAATTAAAAGAAATGCAGAAAGCAGTCCTCTCTGTCTGTCACTTCAGACTATGTCCCACCTGTCCCTTGCAGAATTTCTAGCTCAGAAATGGGAAAGTAGAACAACCACCACCTAGAGCTAGAAATTGAAACCCGTAAGACAAAAATGAACTGGAGTTTTGGAGATAGTGCTATTTGAATTGGCACAGAAGAAAGGACAGCAGTGGAGAATGCCAGAAGTCTGTTATTCTGGAATTTACACACAATGACTTTACCTCTAGTACAACTCTTCAACTTCCCCAGACTTCAAAATCAGACTTTCTTTTAATTCTCTTCCACAGTGTATCACTAATCAATATGACAATATCTTAATCTCAGAAGGCATATAAATCCCTGTCTGAATTAGTGTTCCAAATTGCTCAGCAGGAAAAAGCAAGTGATAGTTAGGCTTGCAGAGGTAAATGAACATACATCCTGGATGGAGTCTGAAACTGGATTTTTAGTGGATAGGCAGAAGGCAGAAACCATGCATTCAAGTCTAGATTTCATTTTATACTACGGAATATTCTTGAAGGAATAGAACACCTGCTGTCTCTTTACTAAAGGAAAAGCTCTAGCAAGAGCTGAATATCTCGGTAAATGAAAAATGAGAGGAAATTTAAGCTCACAAAAACTAAGAGGAGTATGAAGGAAAAAGCAAAGAAAGATTACATCTGTCTTGCACAGTTCATGATTACGGATTTAATTAGACTCACTTAACATTATGTACCTACCTTTATTTCTTCTATGTCAGCAGTCTGGAGTTTTTCCCTGAAATGCTTATCTGTTTCCAAGACATCTATTACTTGCCTGAGATATTCATCATAATAAAGCCCTGTATCCTTCAAAAAAGAAGGTTACAGTTAGAAAAGAAAGAATACGCTACCAAGTATCTTACTTCATTCAAATACAATTATTAAACTAAACTCCAATTCTCAGCTACACAGGGATTAAGCTGTCCTAAATATCTTTCACTTTTCTGATCTGCATCGTTGCCCTATAGCAACTTACTCTTATGATTCATTTGTCAGTAACTGATGACAGAGGAGGAAGATATTTAACAATCCATGTCATATGCAAGCATCTGTCATGTTAATATAGCATTGTTTTCTTTTTTTTAAACAGTGCAATTAATTCATTACATGATTTCAAGAGCAGTTCAGAATAGTGCCTATTCTTTTCCCTCAGATGCAAAAGAAAATAGAGACTATTTGCTGCATTTCCTAGAAATCTTTTTAGAAAGACAGCCACCCCCAGTCTGCCAGAATCAACGACGAGAAGTTATACTTGGCTTTAATCAGCGTATCTGTCAAAAAGTAAGCAGATATTATGTCTGGGAAACATTTAACGTTAGTATGAGATTACTGAACCTGCACAGCTGAGGGCAGATGAACCAGAACTACAACCAGGACTTAACCTATTAGGTAAACTTTACACTAGGTCAGTTTATCTTCCTGTGGCATGCGCTCTCTTTATGCATTTTCCTGTGATGCTGTGGTACAAAAAAAAAAAAACCACTCTCAGTAAGGGTAATCCAGTGGAAATAGAACTGCTAGACTCAATAATTTCATTTTGGAAAAAAAATCTGCTTCAACAAGAGTTTATTTGGCTTTCAGGGAACAACGGTATTGTTCAGTTATTAAAAGCTGAAACCGGAGATTTGTTTCTTGGAAAAAAAAAAAAAAAAAACTGCAAGTACATTACTGTAGTACATTGCGAAGTACTTTAGCAAGTACAAGATCTCCAATGTGTTTTCATTGAAGACGCTTGTAGCACTTACAAACACAGTATGTCTGTTGTTGAAAAAACTTCATACTTGCAAAAGCTAACTGTGTTCCCCTGATCAAACATTTTCCTGTTCTATTTGAAGCACTGAACTGGAAACATTGAATGGAATTTCCTAAGCCACCACTTTGAAAGAAGTCTCTGTGGAAAAATAAGCAGCGCTTCCTGTTGTAAACTGGGGAATTCATTCACTTTGCTACCTCACCTTTAGCAGCTCACAGAAAATAACTAAGAAAAGAGAACAAATTTAAATGGAGCCCCGCTACAGCAGATGGTAGACTGTTTGAAAATATCAGCTAATATTCATTTCTTTCCTGCATATAGCTCCAGTAAAAAACATCTAAATTTCAGGACAGAGGGCTGCTATAACCAGATTACTAACAATTAGTACAAACAACTTCAGAGGTTGGACTCGATGATCTTGAGGTCTCTTCCAACTTAGAAATTCTGTGATTCTGTGAACTTAGATTAATTTCATTATACTTACTGGATTTTCTATCTTCTCTCCTTCTACATGGCCTTCTCCTTTGACTTTTGTCTTATCTATGTCTATAGGCACAGCTTCCAAAGCCACTAAGAGACATGACATCAGCAGAATACATTGCTGGGGCAGGAGAGATAGCCTCTTCATCTGAAACGAGACCAAGTCACAAAAATAACATAAGTGATGTTATCATACTGTGCTGATTAGAATTCTTTGACATTCCTACATAGATACCTATAATAACATACTTCTCACGTGTTCTACTGCTCTCAGGGAACACTGGAACTCAAAGAATTAGATAGTGTTAATTGTTGATATGCTTTATTCATAAAAGTAGTATATGAAAGAAGAAAAAAATAAAAGGGAAAAATAGAGATAATATTCTCTCTTTTATTGGAGACTAGGCAATAGTTGAAGGTAAAAATACACCTACTTATCCAGCTTTTGTTTTATAGGCTTGAGAATGACAAGGATTCTCTGAAGCTCTTTTATTAATCATATCCTCAGCAAAAAGAATGTGAATGGATTCTGTTCAGTTATAGCACATACCGGTTGCTTTCAATTTAAAAAAACAACATCTGATCACTACCAGATGGGATGGCAGGAGCTAGTGTTGCTGCCCCATTGAGTGTATTGGATTCAATGTCAGCGCTTGTCAGCTCCCCACTGGAAACTCAGATCAACTTGGCTTAGGTCGTTCCTAGGGACTTCTAGGGACATGTGAATTGTCGAGATGGGGATCAGCAGTTCAAGATGAGAGGAGTACACAAGTTCTGAGGAATTCTTCCCCTTGCTGCTCAAGAAAACTGATATGTAACGTGTTCAAATGGAACTGAAACTAAGGAATAAGCAAATATGTTGTTCTGCCAACCCTCATATGAGGGATCAGTAACCCCTAACAGAGATTTAGGATGGGCAACTGGAACTGTATCATCTTAAACTACAGTAGTCACAGAGCTTATAGAACAAACGCACTAATCAGACTGAATGCCACTGGATCTGCTGGCTTTCAGTGGGCATTCATGCTTACAGGCAATTTGGGTTTCTTTGAAAATACCAGTCGTTGTAACTTCATGCTGTTATATGTAATTGGAGAGACTGGATGGTACCACAAATTGTTTTTGACATCTATTTGATGTGAGACACTGCTCTGGAAAAAAAGGCTATCTACTGCCCATCCAGCAATTTTGTTTCAGGTTGTACACCGGATGTTTGTATTGTGGCCACGTTGATACAACAGGCAAAAATAAATAAATAAAAATCTACAAGTACCATAAAAAATTAAGAGCAGAGAAGACAAAGTGGATAAACAAAAACATCTCCATCATCACAGCTGACTTTACAGACTACTTTGCCTAACACAGGCTTTCCAGTAGCACTTTGAGGAACCCACCTGTTTATACAGCCTGTGCTATAATGAGTACATTGGAAATACATTTATTAAAATAAAAAATTACCTAGTGAAGACAGAGTTACTGTATTTAGGTATCTTATAGTCCAAGACTATAAAAAAAGTATCAAAACTTACCTCTATAAAAGCAGGTGACTAACACAAGTCAACCTTTAGACCGTCACAGTGACAGTCCAAACTGACTCACTGAACACGTTACTCTGACACGTACTAGTAAAGAGAAACCAGGCCCCTTGCAAAGTCAGCTGCAGGAGAAAACTGAGCATGATTCTCAAACTCAGCAACTAGAGAGAAGTGATGAGAGGCAGGATGAGAGAAAAACGGGACTCTGTTTTTTGTTCCCCGAAGTACTTTGTTATTAAGAGTTCATCCAAGGCCCAGCCTGTTATCAACTACCTTCAGCAGTTCCTGACTCTTGATAAACCCATTCCAAGGTGCCCATCCCTTTCCCGGCATTTTAGAGTAGATCTACTGATGACTGATGCTGACTCAAAGACGGGGTTTCCCCTGCAAGGACCAGGAGCCACCAAGTCAACAGCCGATCACAGTGCGCAGAAGGGGAGCGATGTCAATTTGGGCACTGCCATCAGCAGTACTTAAAGCACAGCAAAGATCTTCCTGCCCGGCCATGGTGGCCTTGCTCTGGCCTATCGTTACTGCTACTCTTCCTACTGCTATTTCACAGTTTAAGAGAAATTTAAATTTTACCAGCTGACTTTAATAATTCAATGGTTACTATCTTAAAGATAAATGGACAGAGCTATTGTTATGATTTGCATTTGGAAATTAAGTGATTCTAGTAAAAGACACATAGCCCACCAAGATTAAAAGGCAGCAAAACTCTAGTCTGCTTGCATCACAAACAAGAAAACTCATCTTTCCAAATTAACTAAATTCTAAAATGATAAAGACATAAACAAACATTTATACTTGTAACACACAGAGAGAACTAACAATAAATGTAGTGCTCCAGAACTGACAAATACTGTAGTTTATAAACAAAGCCAGTATTTGGGAAGAAAACCAAGTAAAAACTTCTCTGAGTAGGAAGCGTTCAAAAAAAAAAAAAAAACAACTCTCTCTTAGTGAGAACTAAAAGAATGAGGTAATGAGCAGGAAAAAGAGCCACCAATGTACTTGTCTGAACAGAAAAATCCAATTGGAAAAGACAAGGAGTAGGATGTCTGCCAGCAACCTTGATCTCCCACTAAATTCAATCACAAATTCCTATCAACTCCAGTGGAAAAGAATCGGACATTTGGATCATTAACAGCTATTAGCTTTGAAAGAGAAGTACAAAATGCAGCTTCTAAAGTTTTACATGCTACTTCCAGCCACATTAACGCAAGCAGCAAAGCATGGCATTAGCACACCTATTTTACACAGCTGTTGGGTGATTATAATACATCTACTTTTTTACAAAATTTACTTTTCATTCACCTAACAACTCTTGCCCAGGAAACAGCATAGTTCTGGTACTGATATCTCCGTTGCTTTCCTGGCAAAGCAACAAATATGTTTTAAGAAGTTATGCCCAAAGTCTGAAATAGGCAAACACAGTGATAGCAGTGTACAGTGCCTGTATATCTAGAAACTCAGCAGATAAGAAGCAGATGATAAGCACCGTAAATGTTACATTGCATGTTTGCACTTGCCACACCAGTGTGTACCATGATGGGTAGTATAATCATAAATCCAGACCTGCAGAAAAAGCCTACCTATTCACAAAATCTGCTGCACGCCTGCTGTATCTGATATGGAAGTAATTAAACTTGTGCGAGAAATGGCGCATACATAAAAGATGATTGCAATATTCTCTACAGTCACAGCTATACTATGGCTTCCTATTTTAATGCTGTATTGTTGGAAATGTCAACAATCCTCATAGGAAGTGCTGCTTTAAAAAAAAAAAAAAAAAGATACAATAACCCATTGATCCAATCCACTAATCCTCGTGTTTTTAAGAATGTTCTGAACTCAGTACTAGAATATTATTATATTACAAATATATCTGAAGGAGACAAAGCGCTCCTAGCAGTTTCAGCTAGCTGTCACCTCTGAGTGATATACCTGCATATCATTTAAGTACATAAAGACAGGGGAGTCCTTCCTTCTCACCATGCTTACTTAAATTCTTTTCTTTTGACTCTTGCATTTATTTTTCTCACTTCTAAATGAAGTTTTCCTGCTTCATCCTTTTTACATTTAGAAGTTGGGTGATTGAACAGCTTCTTTTTTCAGCTTCTCAGAAAAGACAGCATGCCTCAGCTGTGTGTAGTACAACATTTGCTGATAGAACCTTTTTTTTTTAAAAAAAAAAAAATGCTAAAAATACTGTTCAGCTGTTTTATTAAATGAGTCACTGAAATGCTGGGAGATCCTATGTAGTAACACAAAATATGAATGTTCAAGTGAGAAAGAACCACATACTGTTTTCAATGGAACTAGAGTTTTCTCTCCAGAAATAAGGATGGCACAGAAGCAAAACATATACAGACTGCTCCTACACATGCTTAGCTCTGTCAGAAGCAAAGCCTGAGAAGACAACTGTTTTTAATTCTAGTGGCAATATATTTAAAAACCTGTGTGCACGCAAATACACATGCATATTTATATAACACCCGTCTCCAAGAAGCTAACATCATTGTTTTAGAAAACTAAATATCAGTGTCTATAAAGACATGTTACAAACTGAAGAATACCGAGTGTTAGTCTTGTTTTTAAAACTTGGTTGATTTTATCAATCCTTTACGTAAAGTTGTCCCAGAAAAAAAGATTTCTGAAACTAACATGCAAGCATAAACTTGTATTGAATTCAGTACATATCAGATAAAAATTCTTATCAGCTTAAAAGGCATATTTGAAATCGAGAAACAGTATAAAACGTAGCTTCCCATACTACAACTACATACATGGAACAAATACGACAGCAAACCTGGAATCTCACAAATTCATTTTGGATAAGTGCAAGCAACAATTTTGTCACTGCTGGCATAAGAACCAACCTCATTTCAAACATGCTACCACCTGCAACAGAAAGATTGCTTGTAAAAGTCTGCTTTTACTCTAACTTCAAAAGTTATTTCAGTTATTCTATGTGATCACCCACTAGTACACATTTTGCTCTAGTCAGCAAGAGATGACCATGCTAGAGTAAGCCTTGATTGCATCAGGACCTCAATAGCCTTTTTTTCCCCTTTGGTAAGAGAACAGAATATGGCTAACAGGAATAAATTTACATCTAATAGTACGGAGCCAGATTTAAAAATGTTTGGGCACTTAATGATAATTGCCTAATGAGATTTATTTCCATAACCTAATTCACGTTGATTTCTACACTTT